CTGGGCTCCCAGCCTGCCTGGGAGACTCCTTTTCATGCACAAAGCCCAGCCCTGGTTTCATCTCCTCTGGGAAGCCTTCCTGGACTTTCCCTTCGCTCCTCCCCACTCATGAGAGTGGGGCAGCCCTGCTCCTCCAGCACCTCTGTGCGTAGGGCTACTTCTGTGGATGTGCTCACCACCCTGCAAAGGGTGGGGAGCCTGTGTCCTGCACAGCAGACAGCACATGAGCTTGGGGTCAACTCTGGGGAGAGTGGGTGTTCTGGAGACAGCCAGCCGCCTAGTGTCAAATCCCGCCTCTAGCACTTACTCCCAGCTCCATCACCACAGGCAAACTCCAGGACGGCTCTGGGCCGGATGACCCATCTGTAAAATGGGATGACTGACGGTAACTCTCCTTTAACACGTTAAGCGCCCAGCCTGTTTTGTCTTCCGGACAGAAAGTATAGTGTCACTCACCAGTGACTGACTGGGCACTAATGTGTTAAAGTTGTTGCAAGGACTCGGTGACCCAATGCAGGTAAAATATTAGCCTAGTGCCTGGCAAGGGGCAAAGACAATAACATTGAGCTCCTGTGCCTTATTTTTCATTAAATTATTAGACTGTGCACCTTTGAGTCTTCGCCATCCCTGTAACTCAGAGTCAGAGCACACAGTAAGCACTCGTTAAAGATGAAATGATTACTGATGCCTCCCGGGGACGGATGCCAGTCCTGAGCTCAGTTCTGAGTATACGCCATGAGGCTAACCAGCCTTGTTCTAAATGTTCAACCAAGACACTAAAAAAACAGTGTCTCAACAGAAACAGGATGCGAGCTTTGTATGGGGCTTATTCAAACTCCACCCAAACTCACTGTCACTGCCACGCACCCTGTATGTCCCATTACTACCCCAGGCAACCCCAAGCTAGCCAAAACTCTACCAAAATGTTCCTGATGGAAATAAGCCCTATCCTGCAGTTTGGGGGACAGTAACAAAAGTTTAAGGGCCACTGGTCTAACATCAACGTGAGAGATACATTTGAGCAACACTAAGCCCCAACCATCTGTTCCTGCCTCTCTCCCGCATCCTTCTAGTTTACCCACTGCCCTCTTGTCATAGGTGGGTACCTGGATAAGCGGGGGGGGGGGGACACCCTTCAATAGACAGAACTAGTGCTACGAGCCTGCATCCTAGGTGTGCTGCACCTGTGCACCTGCTCTGAAACGGGGGAGGGCACCTCTGGAGGCCCTCAGAGGCCTCTGAGTTTCACTGAAGGCAAATAAAGACGAGCAGCAGGTGAAAACAGCATTAAAAATGATTAAGTGTTCAGTACACAAGCTTCCCAGTCCGTGCAGAGTCCCAATGAGACTGTTCATTTCCCAAATTCAATGTTATCCTCCTGCTACAAGGCTCCCTGGCCCAGGCACTCAGCCAGGAGGTGACAGAGAGCAAGCAGGGAGCCTGAAGCACACAGCAAGTGCTTTGCATGCCTTGGAGCCTGGAGCACACAGCAGGCGCTTTGCAAGCCAGGGAGCCTGGAGCACACAGCAGGCGCTTTGCATGCAAGAGAATGAGCTCAGCCCCGCTTCCGCTTCCGGGAAAGAAGCTCTGGAAACCGGAACTCCAGGGGCCTATCTTCTGGGGGCCTGTGCAGGAGGGTTAAACAGTTAAGTAGTAGCATGACTGAGAGGTCCAAGGACCGTCTAATGAAGGGCTGGGTCCCTGAAATTTGCCTACTGTGTGAACTTGGGCATATCACCTTCCCTCTGGGGGCTTCAGTTTCCTTGTTTATAAAATTAAGGGGTGGTTTCCTAACTTTTTTCCCCCAGAGGCAAAAGCACCTGTCTGCCCCAAAAGAAGTCTATGAGGAGACTCCAAAATATAAAACAGGAGAGCGGAACAGCCGTGACGGGAGTACATTTGTGGGGTGCATGAAGCCGCACCTATGTGAGCCTGCCTCCCCCTATCCCAGATGCTAGGAAACCAGGAACCCTGGGAACTCAGGGAGCAGGGTTACAAACCAGATCAACTCTCTAAGATCACAGCAGGCGGCAGTATTTCAGGGCGTTGCCTACAACAGACCTTCTGATGCCTATCTCTATGGAATGGATAGGAACAGACCAGATTGATTATTTGAAATTTGTAACATGAAAAATGTCAAACATATTCATCACACCTATGTTCCAGCCTCAACAATTATCAAGTCATGGCCAGCCATGGTTCATCTCTACCCTGCCCATCCCATATCCCTGGGATTATTTTGAAGCAAATCCCCAATATAATACTATCCAGTCAGTGTCATTACTACACTAAGAAAAGCAACATTAATCCCTACATTATTGGCTGTGCTTTACATCCTTCTGACTGATTTATGCTATCACTGGAAGTTTGTCCATGTTTTGCCCGTCCCCCACTGCCCAATCCTCTGGCCACTATCTGTTCGTTGTATCTCTGAGTCCGTTTTGTTGTGTTGTGTTTGCTCATTTGTTTAATTTTTTAGATTCCACATACACTTCTATGGGGATCACTTCATAAGGTATGTAAATGTCAAACCACTATGTTGTACACCTGAAACTAATATTGTATGTCAACTATACTATAATTAAAAAGAGCTTTACATTTCAGAATAAAGGTTAAAAAAAAACCACACATATTAATTCCTGAACATCATCTGACATCTAAAGTGCCTGCTCCATCCTTTTTTTCCTCCTTATAATTAATTTGATGAAAAACTGAGTCGCTTTTCTATGGTTTCCCACTGCCTGGATTTCCATGGGTATCACTGTTTGTCACTTAACATGTACCTCTGCCCTCCACGTTCCCAGTGATCCCATCACTAGATCAAGGTTACATCAGGGGGCACATAACACCTGGTTGTTTCTCTGTGAAAACTGCCAGCAGCCATGGATGACTACTTTCTATATTGGACTGATTATTGTTCAGTTTCTTACATATATTCAAAAATGCATCACACATACACATATACTTAGTTATATCTTTTTCATTTTACCCAAATTACACCCAACCCTACTATTCTACAACTTTTCATTCAACATGAAATTATTAGTACTTTTTAAATTAGAATCCAATAAGATACATTTAACACGTGAACAATATTGAGTATAGTTTAAATTCCAACAATTCACAGTTTAAATTCTGGGATTTGTCCAGAATAGGGCTTTTACCACATGTAGGCGATGATAACTAGTTGCTGAATAAATCAGCAATACTGCTAAGTCCTGTTGTCTAAGAAATACCTCTGTGTATACCATCAACTGACCTGCACAAGGGTTCCGTCTGATGTACTGTGCGACAGTCATCTAAAAATTCCCAATTCATCAGTTTTCTCCTCCCCTAAATCGTCTAAGTATAAGCCACTGCCCCTGATCAATAATCAAACCAGCAATTCCTGCTGCCCCTGCTAATGCTCACTGGTGGTCACAAAATTAACAGCCTGCTTCTATGTGGCAGAGTCTTCATGCCCCCAAATGACCAATGCCGGTGTTCTGCTTCATACTAGGAACTTCCTGTGCTAAAAAGCAACCACTCCCTACGGTCAGTTAGTCGTCCCATGAGAGAAGCCAGAAACGTGAGCAATCAAAACGAAATCAGGCAACACAGATTTTTTTTTAAGTCCTCCGTACGTTTTTTAAGTCCTCTGATAGTATCTGCTATGAAAGCCCCAGCCCAGCGAGCCCCTCTCACCACACTGCTGCTCCCAAGACCCTGCATGGAACCTAAAAGGTCTTTAAAAAAACATTCCCCCCCAACAAGTCTACATCTACTGGATGATCACATCAAGGTTCCTATGGCAACCCTCCTTTCTAGAGTTTGGGTAGGGAAGGCTGAGGGGTCACTGAGCACCTGGCTTATGTGTGGTGAGATGCCTTAAGACTGCCCGTGACTTTCTCCTAGTTACAGGGAGGCCTCCCACTTCCACAGCACCTGACCATGACCATCCATCAAGGGCTTCCCCAGGTGGGACCTACTGTGTAAATAAGGAGGAGAGATCAGACTCCATTTTTTTTATTTTTTTTTTTTTTTTTAACAAATGAAGACTCTAACAATCAGAGTTAAGTGCTCCTCTGTAAAAAAGCCAGAATAACACCTTGGGACCCCTGACCTGCGTTTTGGAGTCAGACCTGATCTCTATCCACCCAGCCCACCAGGCTCTCCCTTCTCTCAGCATCCATGCCTTCAAGCATGTGCACTCAACCCCTGCATTTTTATTCTACCACATCTGGGTTTGTTTCAACCATGGAGAGTGTGTTTGTGTGTGTGTGTGTGTGTGTGTGTGTGTATGACTAAGCCCCCATGAAGCTGCATGCTTTAAAGCAGGACTCATGCTGAACACGACGGGACATCTCTAAAGTAGCAATCGCCTCAGTGCACAATTAGTTCACAGAAGTGTCATGATTACAAGTCTGAGCTTGGAAGTCACAATATAATCCCGGGTGACTTAATATGACAAAGAACTAAGTTTGAATCCCAGTTCCAATGCTGCTTAGCTGTGTGGTCTTAGGAAAGTTACTTAACTTCTCTGTGATGACTGCACTTCCTCGTGTTTCATGGAGTAACGGCAGGTATCTCATCAGGTTACTATGAGAATGAATGAGAGCTTGATTCAGGTAACACTGTAAACTCTAGAAAACTCAATCCTATTGCTGTCGTTAATATTGGGATCCCTTATTGTTCATCAACATCATTGCATTTTTATAGTTAATAAAACCAAGTGTGGGGCCCAATATCTTGCCCAGCATCACACAGCAAGCCAGCGCTACAGCCCAGGAGGGAATTCCAAGATGCCACCTCCCACTTCTACTTCCGTTACAGTCTCCGCAATGTCTATCCCACAGCAAGTGCTTAGTAATACGCAGAAATTACTGAACGTGTCAACTGTATGGAAACTCAGTGAGTCATCTGGTCAACCCTCTCATTTGGCAGATTAGAAAATTCAGGCCCAGCAGATAACACATCTGTTCAATACCGTTCAGCTAGTAATAATAACCTACACATGTGTGTAATGATGCCTAATTACGCCATTTTATTCACCATGACATGTGACGCTGAAGCTTCCCGGCGAAGACCCCAGCAATACAATCGAAGTCAAACAAAGTTGAGGTTATCACGCCACAGAGACTCACAGGGGTCTCGGTAAGAGGATGTCAGGGGGTGCTCATTATACAGTCTGGGCTTTTCAGTGATTTGGGGGCGGGTTCCAGGAGGTGGGTGCTGCCATAAAGCAGGAATTCTGTGGCCAGGTGTCCTTACGATGTTTACCCAGCGGGCAGGAGGCACAGGGCAGACCTGAGCTGTAATCGGTAAAGAAACAGCCGGCGTCTGTGGGGCTGAGAGGGCATGATTGCAATTTCTGTGGACGGCAGTGTTCCGGCTTTCCTCTGGGCTCACTCTTGATTACGGAGCCGCCTTGTTTTTGTCTTGTTTTATCACCATCACACAGTGACCCTGCCATAGGTCAGTGTGCTGTGAAATTCTTCATGTCCAGCTCTCAGAGCCCGGCCGGCACCAAGCCCACAGCAGCCGGAAGGGGGTGGGTTTTGTTTTCTTTGCTCGGGGACGTGGTCAACTCTTCACAACACCTGCTTGTGTTGGGGAATTTCAGGGAGGACTAGAAGCAAAGTAAATAAAGATCCCAACCCTTAATGAGGTTGCATTCCAATGGAGGAAAAGAGTTCATTAAAAATAAACATAATACACTGCAAATATCCATCCTATCCAACGTTAGAAAGTGGTAAGGGCTGTGAAAATAGAGAAAATGCAGAGCAAAGGGGATTGGGAACAGCAGTGACATTGCAAATGTGAGCACAGACCTACAGGAAGCGAAGGAGGTGGCCCTCACAGGACCATGCATCCGAAGAGAAATCAGCATCCTTGTCCCAGTTTGGAAATGAGAAAAGTGCAACTTGGAGAGGTCACGTGACTGCCTAGCAATCACATGGTGGCAGCAGGGAGCCCCGGGTCTTCAGATTCTCCTCCACCAGCTGCCTTTCCAACACAACCTGGACCAAAGGGCACCCTGGTGCAGGTTGGACCCCAGACTTACATGCAACTGTGTGAGCTCTGAAGCTCCAGAGAACTTCTGCTTTCTCCCACCCACCCAGGTTTGCAGCCCGCTGTGTCCCCTACTAGGGGAGCAGAATATGCCACCCCGAAATGACCCACTCGGCAGAGGGTCTACCTGGAGCAGAAGCATTGAGAAAAAGCAGACACAGGCGGACTCTGCACCATGCGCACCCCTACCCCCCTAAAAGCAGGGCAGGGAGATTCCCCTGTGAAGGCACCCTCCTCCCACACTGGGGATGGGGGTGGGGGTGGGGGGGAGCAACCTAATCATCAGAGATGGAGATCGCACAGAGAAGAATCTGCATAAACACACCTTGATAAAAAACAAAGAACAACAACAAAAAAAACATCATATATTTACCTTCTCTAATAAGTATAATAAAGAGGGGGAAAAAGAAAGCGCTGTAACTGGATTCTACCCGAGAGAAGACTCTGCCTGACCCCAGCAATTTAAACAATTTCTCTGCTTTCCTCTCTGTTTTCCATGTGTACAGCAGCGGCTATTATAGCCATGATAACAAGGTCTCATTATTTTACGTTTCTTAGCCTCAAATGCAGTCCTGCCCACTCACTTCTTCTCGGCCCATATGCCGGCGTGTGCACTCACCGTTCCCACCAAACGACTTGTTTATGTTGGAAACATTTATTTGTTTGAAGTGGAGTGTGTCAGTGTCACTCTGAAAAGGATGCCAACATTCCTGCTTCCTAAAGAACCAGGGTATTCTTTAATGAAGACACACAACCCCAACAAACCCCCTTTTTAGTGGCATGTGATCATATCTCAAGGTCTGGCTGGGAAAGAAAACAAGTTGCAATGACAGGCAGCCTTCTTGTGCTGGGCGGGGCATGTGGCGACCACAGATGGACACAGTGACCAGATGCGACTGCTCCCGGCTGTCCCCTCCCTCCTCGAAGATCCGTGCAGGAAAATGGGCTCTGTGTCAGGGTGGGTGATAGTAAAGAAAGCAGAGGACACTAAATGTTGTTCCACAGTGGAGGTCAGCTGTAGTTTGTGATTAAAATTTGTCAGAATGTGTTCTGCATTCGAGGCTGGGGCTGTCATCTATGTCTCATCTAAAAACTGTGAGCCAACCTGGAGGCAGGGCTGGGAATCGAGGTGATGAGCAGAGCAGCGGGGTAAAGGTGATCGGGAGACACACATGGGAAGAGTGAGAGAGACAGGCCTGATGGATGGGACTATATCAGGAGCAAAGTCCAGCTGCAGGGAGTGATTGTGAAATCCGGGGACCGCAGGCCAAGCCAGGGTTGCTTTGGGTTCTGAGAATGGGAACAGAAAAAAATGTGGCCATTAGCCTCTGGGGAAAGCATTATTCTGAGGGTTTTGATTAGCCTGTTAATTCCACATTCACCTTCCTGTTGCTATCTCAAGGCAGTCATGCATCTTCCCAAACCAGCCCCATCTCTCTGTTAGTCCACCCATCCATCCATCCATCCACACACCCACCTATCCATCCATCCATCCATCCATCCATCCATCCATCCATCCATCCATTCATCCACCCATCCATCCATCCATCCACCCATCTACACACCCACCTAACAATCCATTCACCCATCCACCCATTCACCCATCTACCCATCCATCCATTCATCTACCCACTCACCCACCTATCCATCCATCCGCCCATCCATCCGCCCATCCATCCGCCCATCCATCCGCCCACCCATCCACCCATCCATCCGCCCATCCATCCATCATTTGTGTCTTCTCTCTCTTTGTGGTACTGGGGATAACATGATAAGCGAAGCACCATCCCTAACCTCAGGGAGCTCACAGTTTTGTCCAGAGACATGTATGTGTGCATGTGTTTGTGAAGCAAGTAAAGGAAGGCTCTAAGCCAGGTGTTTGCAGGCTGGGGAGCTCTGAGCAGAGGGGCTCTGCCACCGAGAGTGGCTACAGCCACGATGCAGCATACACTGCAGTGGTACTGCACAAGGAACATTCTGGAATCCCTTCCACTGCTCCAGTACTGTGACTCTGTCTCTACTTATAAAACCAGAGGCCATCCCTTATGCATACATATCACCTGGGGCTGGGTCCCCAAGAGACTCTCAGTAAGCAGCCCCGAGATAGAAGGTGCCTCTCAGAGTCCACGGCTGAATCCTGGCTCCAGCATTTACTGTTTGTGCTCCCTTAACCTTTTATGCCTCAGTTGCCTTGGCTTTAAACAAAGGGGGGACGGTGAAAGTAATACCACATGGTGTTGCTGCAAAGAGTGAGCCCAAATGTTGAGTAAGGGCAGGAATTTTTGTTTTATTCACTATAGTACTGCCAGGTGGATGTGCCAACTAGATAACTATTCATTGAATGACTGAATGAAGAAGGAATCCCCTCTCTAAGCCTGGTCTGTTCCACTTTAGGGAAGGAGTTAGTGGTGCTGATCACTGGTTCTTAAGGGGGCTGCTGATCAGAAATTCCTTGGGGCCTTTCCCATAAGCACATGACCAAACACTGCTCCTTAAACTGACTCCTTAAGCCTTACCTGGGCATGGTGAATGCATTCTGGAAACAAGGGTTCCAGGTGATTCTCCCCTGTAGCCCTGGTTAGGAATGAGGGGAGCGCAGGCCACCTGTTGCCTGATTATGTGTTGGACAGATCGGGGGCAGATGGAGTGACAGCAAATCATCCAGGGTGTCAGTGCTCACTCCACCCTTCCACCTCCCTTTCATCCTCCAAGACCCAGCTTACATGTCACCTCTAGAGAGATGCCCCTCTCCTGCTCGGGTGGAAAGCACCCCCTCTCTGTTGACTGCCCCATGGTCCTGCTCCTCAGTTTCCGTAATGCCATCATCAGCCGAATATATATATATATTTTAGAGAGGAAGGGAGAGGGAAAGAGAGATAGAAACATCAATTGGTGCCTGCTGCAAGCCGCTACTGGGGATCAAGCCCACAACCCGGGCATGTGCCCTGACCGGGAATTGAACCGTGACCTCCTAGTTCATAGGTCAACACTCAACCACTGAGCCATGCCAGCAGGGCAGGTGTGTCTTCTTTATCAGGCCGAGGGCTGGCCGAGGGCCGAGTCTCGTGTGATTCAGCATGGTGCGCACCACCTCCCAGCACCTTCCCCAGTTTTTTGTATTTAGCTGGTACATCATATATATTTAAATATGTCACCAGTAAATATATGAATGACTTCTTCAAAAGCTAACAGAGCAGATTTTGGTGGATGACCTGCTGCTCGCCCATGCTGCCGACAGTACTGGAATAAATGCTCATATATGATTCAACCCTGTCTCTGCTTAATTGGCTCAGAAGTGACAGGTGCAGGAACCCATTGATTGTCCGCTTATATATTCTGGCGACCAGGAAGGGATATAAGCAAGAGACTCCTCTGGGGAGGACCAGATCTACAGAAGTTCCCTTTAGCAGGCTGCAGAAATAGCAGTGGGGGGGCCACTCACATTTTTGTAAAGAAAAAGAAAATAGTACTTTCACAGTAAAGCCATTGGAAGCTGGATTTCACAATTCTTAATAAGTGAGTCATGGAGATTAAAAATGGCAGCAGAATAAGTGAATGCTGCAGGGACATGCTCCCAGGTCCAAACTGGAATTACAACTAAAATACAAAAAAAAAAAAAAAAAAAAAAAAAAAAAAAACTTGCTGAGTTATCAACAGAAGACTCGCTGGAGAGAACCCTGATACCTGAGGACAGAAAGTGGAGGTGGCAGAGAGACTGGTAGGAGGGGTGGAGGCATGAAAGGGCTGGCCGGGTTCCCACAGGCAGCAGCTGAAGTTCCACAGAGATCGCTCAGCTGTGGGGGTTGCCACTGAGAACTCTGGGGTCTAATCCCCAAGCTGGACCCTGCAGCAGAGAGCACCAGAACTGAGAAGGGAACCCACATAACATCTGGCTGTGAAAAGCAGCGGGGTTGCTGTCTGCCAGGGAGAGACACCTGGAAAATCAGGCCCCCTCCTAAAGGGCCAACGCACAAAATTCCCTGTGGAGCTACACATCTTGTGCTCTGACAGAGGAACAGCAGAGTGGACTGGAGCTGGGTGAGCAGAAGCCAAGATCGAGGGCTCTGGGATTAGAGCTCAGAAGGCAGACACCCCAGTTTCCGGTGCTGAGCCATTCCCTCATGCTGTGGAGGTAATCTTTCTTATGCAGACAATTGCTATACAGGCGCCATTGCCTGGGGGAAGAAAGTTGACCCACCCTATTGGAAAACACCTTGATCCTTAGGAGACCAAGAATAACAATTAGCCTCCAGGCAGAAACAATGACCCAACCCTGTTGAAAAAAGCATTTGCCATACCTGTCGATGATGGCCTGAGGGCAGATCAAGAGGAATCCTATCAGTCTGCAGCCAGAGGTAGTCTCTGGAGGCTTTGAGTCTTTACCTGATCTAATTAGTCAGAAACAGCCTTTGACACTGTCCTACACTAGAGATTGAGAGGCATAGCAGATATACCTAATATATAGTCACAAATCCAAACAAGCAACTAAAAATGAGGAAACAAAGAAACAACCCACAAATGAAAGAACAAGAGAATTCTCCAGAAGAAGATATAAATGAAACGGAGATAAGAAACTTATCTGAAACAAACTTCAGAATAATGATGGTAAAGATGCTCAGTGGATAGAGCGTCGGCCTGTAGACTGAAAGGTCCCAGGTTCGATTCCAGTCAAGGGCATGTACCTTGGTTGCAGGCACATCCCCAGTAGGAGGTGTGCAGGAGGCAGCTGATCGATGTTTCTCTCTCATTGATGTTTCTAACTCTCTATCCCTCTCCCTTTCTCTCTGTAAAAAATCAAAAAATATATTTTAAAAAAAAAGATGCTCAACAGCAGGAGAAAAGATATAGTAACTATGAAAAAAGAACAGTTGGAAATAAAGAATGATAGAGCACAAATAAAAAATACATTGAAAGGAATACACAGCAGATTGGGGAAAGTTGAGGACCAAATCAGTGAAGTAGAAGACAAGGTTGAAAAAAATCACTCAATCACAGAACCAAAAAGAAAAAACAATTAAAAAACAGGAGGACAGCTTAAGGGAACTGTAGGACAACATGAAATGAAACAATATTCGAATAGTAGGTGTGCCAAAATAGCCAGAAAGGAAGAAAGGGTTAGAGAAGGTGTTTGAAGAAATAATGGCAGAAAACTTCCCTAACCTGGTAAAGGAAAAAGTCACACAAGTCCAGGAGGCACAGAGAACCCCAAGCAAGACAAGCCCAAATAGGCCCACGAACAGACACATCATAATTAAAATGCCAAAAATTAAAGACAAAGAGAGAATCTTTAAGGCAGCAAGAGAAAAGCAAACTGTTAACTACAAAGGAGTTCTCATAAGGCTAACACCTGATTTCTCATCAGAAACTCTACAGGCCAGAAGGGAATGGCATGAAGTACTCAAGGATCTGAAACCAAGACTACTATATACAGTAAGGCTATCATTCAAACTAGATGGTCAAATAAAAAGCTTCCCAGACAAAAAAAAAAAAAAAAAAAGGTTAAGAAGTACATCACCACCAACAAAGCATTATAAGAGATGCTAAAGGGACTGCTATAAAGAGAAGAAGAAATAGAGAGAGAAACCTAGCCATAGAGAATTAAAATGGCAATAAACAAATACCTACCAATAATAACCTTAAATGTAAATGGACTAAATGATCCAATCAAAAGGCATAGGGTAGCTGAATATGACGCAACTATATGCTGTCTGCAAGAGACCCATCTCAGAACAAAAGACACACACAGGATGAGTGAAGGGATGGGAAAAAAATTTCCATGGAAATGAAAAGAAAAAAAAAAGCTGGAGTAGCAATACTCATATCCAACAAAATAGACTTCAAAATGAAGGCCATCACAAAAGACAACAAAGGTCACATAATACTAAAGGGATCAATACAACAAGAGGATATAACCCTGGTAAACATAAATGCACCCAATATAGGAGCACCTAAATATATTTTTTTAAAATCCTAGAGGACTTTAAAGGAGAGATCGACAACAATACAATCATAGTAAGGGATCTTAACACTCCACTGACTTCACTGGATAGATCTTCCAGACAAAAAATTAACAAGGAAACAGTGACTCTAAAGGACACACTGGATCAAATTGATTTAATTGATATTTATAGAACATTTCACCCCAAAGCTGCAGAATATACATTCTTCTCAAGTGTACAGAGGTCATTCACAAAGACTACATGTTAGGACACAAAACAAATTCAAGAAGATTGAAATCATATCAAGCGTCTTCTCAGATCACAGTAGAATGAAATTAGACATCAACTACA